CCAGTTAGGATACAGCAGTGCAGTACTGAGTATGGTCATGTTTTTATTGCCTCTTCCCACAAAGACCATACACCCTCCCTAGTTGTCGGGGGTGCACTGTCACGGGGACAGAAAGGAATTAGAAATCCAAAGTGGTACAGTTGTCACCAGAAAAAAAATTGAGGTGAATTCATCTAACAGAAACACCCTTTACAGTGACAACTATGTAAGTGGGCAAGAGAAGGCTTCCCCTCACATTGGAGAGATTTCCAGACTCAGAGACAAATGAGGGGAAATCTTTCCAATGGCACACAGGCAGACAAACAAGGGCCAGTTCACAGCCAAGCATAACATCAATTGCAAGATACCGTGCAATTAACGCATGCAATTGCACAACACACCTAACGTGCATTACTGTACGCTAGGTGCCTTGCCATTCATTTGAGTGGCACCTCAACACACCTCCCAGGTATACGGCCTGGGACACAGACATGATGAATCCAGGTCCGTACACCACCTATGTGCAGCGGTCAAAACTCGGAGCTGAGGGAAGCAGTGTGTGAGGGCGCACCGCTCCTGACTCTCCATAGAGTTGTGTGAGCTGCCCGCACACATCTACCCACAGCTCCGAGCACATCAACAATCGTCCCTTCATGCAGTACGGGGCAACCACCCATGTGAATGAGGCCTAAATAGGTAGGTGTCTCCTAACCTGCCCGTTAGTGGCCAACCCTAGATTTAGACTGCCGAAGAAGAAAATGAAGAAGGAAGCAGCAAATCAGACAAATCAGCACTAGCAGCAACATGTCCAGCACAGCAGGAGGAGAAGAATCAAGCAATCCCTTGTGACTGTGACCTCTACAACTCCAGTTCCCATTTCATTTCTACTTTTCTTGCCCAAAAATGAATGAACACATTTAAAAAGGCACATGTGCAAGATTTCCTTTCACTATTATTAGTCGCAACATTTGTCTACTTTCCAAATGACCTCAGGACACCACACAGACTCAGAGCCGGATTAAACCCACACAGGCTCTTCTAGGCAATGAGAACAGCAGCCATCCAATTAGGCTTCAATAACTAACATCTTTAGAAGCTGTTTTAGTAGAATATAAAAGGTCTGACAAACAGTGCATCCCTTGCAGCATCTGAAATACTTGGGCTGCGTTGGGGTTAAATGTCAGTAACACCGACAGCGAAAGATTAAAGTTGACCCAACAAGTCCCGGTAGCCGCCTAGACACCATTAGAAATCATGTGGCCCTATACAGTCTACATGACAGGACCCCTCACACTCCCCTTCCCTGCAGCTATACAGCCACATGATCAGAGCTGACAGAAGTCCCTTTTCTGCTCTGAACACAGCAGGAGGAGAATTACCAGCAACATTCCATACAATGAGGGAATATACCGAGGTGTAAATCCCTCATCAGATCCTGACATGTCCTTCTTAAAGTCGGGTATGCACTTGTCTATTTTTTTCCTTCAATATGAAAAAAAAAAATAGAACAGATTCCTCCACCAAGGCTTGCGATCGTTGACCGGCCGCTGTCAATACTACCCAAACAGAGCAAAAAGCTGATTGGCTGGCAGCTCCAGTCAGCCAAGAATTTTCCAACCTGCTCCTTCGATCAGCAGATTGAAAGATGTCAGACGGAGGGGTATTGAGTGGCACCCACTGTGAGAAATTCAGCTGGTTCAGGAGGAACCAGCTGAAATTTGTACCGTGTGTACCCTACTTAACGATCCGTAGCCCTCGGTACTCCTGATCCAGCTCCTCCTTGCCTTTCACCATTAGGGTGACAACATGACTGCCACTGTCAGACCTCATCTACACTAGGACTCACCCTGCTTTCGAGCAGACCCCAGGCACCCCTGCTGACCCAATGGGGCCACCTGATAGGGGTTACAAGCGTACTCCTATAATCGGTGTCCCTGCACCTAGATCACAAGGCAGTAAATCAGATTCTGCATCTTCATGGTGTGTTCCCAGAGACTCGTACCATTTTTTATTACATGGTTTCCTTAACAATCCTATTTCAAATCTTATGCTATGATGAACTGCAATAAGCTATACTAACAAATAGGGTAATACTTCATAGAGCAGCAACCAATCTCATATCAGCTTATTGTACTCAGGTAAGTAAAAGTGTCATTCAGATATTCTGGGTTACTGTATGAATATTACACTGTCATCATAGAGAAAAAGGTGAACTGATGTGGGGAAAATAGTATTTTTGTAAACAATTCAATAACCCCAGGTACTTACAACACTATGTAATCCAGCATATGGAATGATTTAACTGATTTGGGAAGATTGAACCTATTCAGAAATTCTCCCAAATGCAACATATGTGACAAAAATTGTTTTTTTTAAACTTTTATAGGAAGCAAAATCTGTTTGCCCAAGCTTCGAGGCCAACTCATCTGTAGCGGCCTCACACTCTGGCTTGGCATTACTATTCAGACTGAAAGCCTATCTCCAGGCAAAACAAATTTCCCTTGCAGTAGGGCTACCCCTGCTTTGCAAGGGTTACTGCTCATTAATGTATAGGAGAGCTGTGTAAAGAACCTTTACTTACCTGATCCCCGCTCTCCCAGTGTTCGACGTTCTCCCCTCTCCCCCTTTACTGTGGCTTGTGGACTGCCCCTTGCCGTCCTCATGTATAATGCAGAGCTATGGGCCCTGCATTAGATGTCATGATATCAGCGGGCCTCCAACCACTGAAGTGACGGGTTGGGGGGAACAGGCTTGGAGCCAGCGGCAGCAGGGATCGGGGAAGTAAATGTCCTTTACTCAGGTACCATAGACATAAACAAGCAGTTAAACCTTGCAGGACGGGGAGAGCCTCACTGCAAGGGAAGCATTTTTTTAAAACATTTTCCCTGGAGAAGGACTTTAGTTAATTTTTTTCATCATAGAGAATTTAGCAGACAGAAGGCTATACATTAACATTTGACTAGTCGCTGACAGCCACAATTTGCACATTCAGACCCAGATTGACACTGACTTGCTAAAATCACTGGGGACCGCTGATGAGAGAGGAAAGAGGGCTCTCTCTTCAGCATTTACTACAAATGGGCAAGTCCATATATGGTGAATGATGTCACTGGGGAGGGAGTGGATCAATGCACTGCACACTACACGTGAAGTAGGCGGGGCAGATGTAGAGGAGGAGGGAGGGGATCAAGGGCTACACAGCAGCGTGTCTGGAAGGCTGGCACAGAGGACGGGGACGTGCAGGTAACGAGAGAGCTGTGTGCAGAGAGCTGCTGCACATATCTGAATACTGAAAAATGGCCTGGATGGGAAGGGGGTTTAACACCGCGGATGTCAACTGGTTAACGCACTTCCTGTCGTTTACAGTATCTGTAGAGGAACAGTGTTGTCACCATAGGACAGGAAGTGTGTTAGGACTACAGAACCCCCTCCCAAACCCCATAACATGGTGGAGATGAAGACACTGCTTAAGATAACACGGAGGAGAGCGCAGAAAAGTACGTGCTCACTGGATTTCTAGCAGTAGCAAAAGGTAGATTTTTTGCAATCATGGAACAAATATAACAAAATGCTCTCAATAGTATATTTAAGTGATAAAAGAGAGCAAATAAGGGAAGTTCATTGTTAGGACTTCACACACTGTAAGCTGTATAAGAAACCAAAAGTTGATATAGTTCTGTGGCATCCATGCTTAAATGAAATAGAAACTTGCCATGAAAGAAATAGAGGCTCTCTGCACACCTCTCCTAATGAAAATGCTACATGTCTGGAAGCCAGGCACCTGAAATTTCCAAAAGAAGTTGAAAGGGAACCTGTGCTTTGCCAATACAAAACAAAGAAACAGATTTGCTTTCATAAAACTCTTACAAAAATCACCTTCTCTTTGTTCACCTTCCACTAGAAATGGAGAAAGGGTACTTCTGAGTATAAGGGATCATGTGACTCATTCCCTCTCTCTCACAGGACAGCGCTGGTGCTTGGCTTTCTGCCATCCTGTTGTGACTTGGATCTTACAAAAGGGCTTAGTCTCTTCACTCCCAGCAGTCAAAAGTGTATGTTCAACTCATTGGACTGGCATTAAAGTAACCCTTTACTGAGAGAGACATGGAGGCTGCCAATTATACTTCTTATTCTGCAAATGTTAGCTTGTTGTCACTTTTGTAGCTTTTTTCCCCCCATTCTGCTGCGTGGGGCTGAACAGGAAAAATCACTTGATTCTCCCTTCCATGCTAAACAGCTTCCATGTGGGAATTTCTCCTGCCAGGTTATTGTATTCTGACAGCCAGTGTCTGCAGCTGTCAGAATACCTGAGTAATTGCGCAAGATTGGCAATCAATGAACAATTTTCAACCTGGCTCCTTTGACAAAAGTTAATTGGAAAATCGACTTGTTGAACAGAGCGGTGTTGACAGGGCTGCACACAGCTCGAATATCAAGCAGTATATGGCCAGCATGACTTTATTTAGACTTTACAGAAATGCAGACTTGTTCCAGGTCAATGACTCTAACCTTATGAACTTGTGCACGATCCAGATCAATAACATCTTCAGAAGAGGATTGGCCTCTCTGTGTACCTGGTAGTGGGCGTATACAGGTGTCTGCTTACATCCGGCTGCCCATAGGGATATATTGCCCTCCATTCTTGATCAGTGTAATCATGGGTCAAAAATGGACTGACAGAATGCTAGAGATAAGTCTAGGTTTTCTGCCAACCCAGTTGGTCTTAGTTCACCCAAGCCTGCTCAGACCTGTGACTGCCACCACCTCCGCCCGACACAATTAATTGTCGAGAGGAGCATTCTCCATCCCACAGCTATACATCACAAAGGGGGTGGGGGGGTATGCCCCTACCACAGCTGCCTTCACTGATTGGGCCAAGAGGGGAGAGCGGCAGTCACAGTTTTGAGCAGGCTTGGGCTAACTATGGTGAACTGGGTTCACACCAAGCCCAGCCTCATCTCTACCAAACACCCGTGTGAAAGGTGCCTGAGATGACATATGCATTTCTAGATCTCTGTTACCTCTTCAGCTCGTTTTCTTCCATCACGCTCCCTTTCATACTGGATCAGCAGCCTTTGATTATCTTCCTGCAGCAGATCCAGTTGGTCCTCTCTCTCCCGAGCCCTGGCAGACGTGGATTCTAAACTTTCCAACACGGACACCATTAATGGCATCAGGCCTGTTACTGTCTCTTGTCCATAGGCCGCTACCAGTTTCTCAAGTTCAGAATAAATACTTCCAGCCAAGGCCGTGACCATTTCATCATAAACTTCTATGGAGTTTCCTCCCTCCACATCATCCCCAAAGATCTCCTCCAGTTTATCATCCATGGTCAACCGCAATTCCGACAAAGTTTCTCTGGCCATTTAATCTTCATGCAGCTTCCCGTGGGAACCCCTGTCATATAAACATAGAGGTAAGAATAAGTCAGTGTACATACACAGCACTCAAACATCAGTTCCAGAACTTCCCATCAGCTGTGATATACAAGACACAATCTTAAAAACATCTGAAGAGCAGAAGAAACAATGTAGAAGATTAGGTGGCCGTACATGTAGTGCTATGTGGCTGATCTAGGTGGCCGTACATGTAGTGCTATGTGGCTGATCTAGGTGGCCGTACATGTAGTGCTATGTGGCTGATCTAGGTGGCCGTACATGTAGTGCTATGTGGCTGATCTAGGTGGCCGTACATGTAGTGCTATGTGGCTGATCTAGGTGGCCGTACATGTAGTGCTATGTGGCTGATCTAGGTGGCCGTACATGTAGTGCTATGTGGCTGATCTAGGTGGCCGTACATGTAGTGCTATGTGGCTGATCTAGGTGGCCGTACATGTAGTGCTATGTGGCTGATCTAGGTGGCCGTACATGTAGTGCTATGTGGCTGATCTAGGTGGCCATACATGTAGTGCTATGTGGCTGATCTAGGTGGCCATACATGTAGTGCTATGTGGCTGATCTAGGTGGCCATACATGTAGTGCTATGTGGCTGATCTAGGTGGCCGTACATGTAGTGCTATGTGGCTGATCTAGGTGGCCGTACATGTAGTGCTATGTGGCTGATCTAGGTGGCCATACATGTAGTGCTATGTGGCTGATCTAGGTGGCCATACATGTAGTGATATGTGGCTGATCTAGGTGGCCATACATGTATGGCTGATCAACCATAAATGCAGACACTTCATTAAAACTGATCATACAATGATCTGCATTACAATTGGTCCCCTGGCACACATATTTGTTCAAGTGATCAGAAACAAATCGACAAAATTCTAAATCAGTCAAGAGCTCGCTAACTCGATTAAGTGGAGGGTTTCTAGTTCTATATGATCAGATCAGGTATATCAAAATGATCATGTCGATATGTGAGTGGCCACACAACAATGAAGTATAGACTCTACAGATATCTGACGATCTAGGAGCTGCAGCTGATCACTGTCAGTGCCGAGTGATCCTTCCTCTATCTATACCCACACAAGCTTCCTTGTAAAGTTTTGTCAAGTCAGCAGATCTCCCGCAGATTCTTCATTGTAGGGACCTCAGAATGCTCGTCATCGGAAGTTTGTGACAGCTGAGTAATGTCATAGTGGACAGGTCCCTCGTCTCCGTGTTTTCCTGGCCATCCCATGTGATCCCGATCCCCTTGTAGCAGTCATGCAGCTCCCAGATCCACTGACACTGTGGTGTAACTTACATGAGTCTCAGGACGGGGAGGGGGGAAGGAGGGGGCCTGAGACTGTCGGCTGAGTGGCGGGCAGCACGGGCCAATCAGCATCTTGCTCCTGGAAGGTATTGGCCAATCGCAGGAAACTCCAGGTTGGAAGTTACAAGCAGCTTCCTGAGCTCTGCAGAGTCTAGGAGGTGCGGGGAGGAGATAGAGGCTACCTTATGGGGGAGTCATGTGACGGCCGGCTCACGTCACGTGACCAGCGATTGGCATTGGACACCTGGGGAGCGGAGAGAGCGGGTGCTCTCCTCCTCCTCATGCTAACCTTTCCTTGGGGTGGAAGGATGGGCGAGCGCAGCTGTTGTGACCAGCAAGCCAGGAATAGGAACAGCATGAGCTCTGAGGTCACTGCATAGCTCTAATATGGAGGGACAGTCCTTATTCTGGACCCCGATCCCTCTGTCCTTCCTCAGGATGGGGAGGGGGTCTGAAGCATTAAAGCTGAACATCAGGCATATATAAAAGGCACAATTGAATGCAGCTTTGTATTCATACACACCATTAAAGGGTCAGTGCATTTATTCTTTGTGCCCCCCTGCTGCATCCTCACCACATTCCCCCCTCACCATCCCCCTCAATCAATGTAATCTTACCAAGATCCAATGTGCGCAGTCTCCCAGGATCATTTACATCCCACGCTGCAAGTCTTCTAGACTTCCTATGGGACTTGTCTACCTAGCCTGGTAACAAGCCCCATAGACTTCTACGGTCCTCTGTTGCACAGCCAGGAAAATGCAGACTTATGGCACAGGATGTTACCAAACACAGGAGGCTGTGAGTGTCTAGACACTAAAATCTTTAAATGTCATGTTTAAATACAAGCAATGTGAGAACCTACATTTTACTTGGTATTGGCCTGTTGATGTCCCTGTACAACAGGGCTCAGACTGGAGGAGAAGCGATCAGATCCGCTTCAGTGCAAGGATAATATTGATAGGACAGAAAAATGAGCTCATCAGTATGCTGCTTCTCCTTTCACTCTCGATTCAAAGGCTGGGGGAGGGACAAGACCTGTAACTGTTCCTGAACTGCACAGAAAATGCAGGTCTCCTGACTGCCAGATAGGACTGTCCAGTGTGACAAGACTGTGTACACCTCAAGAATAGATGGACAGACGTACAAGCAGGTATAAGAGCTCCCCTTCATGTATCTTATCTGTGAATTCAGCTGTTTGCCTGGTGTTCAGGTTTAGGCCCCAGTCACACCTGATCACTTTGTAGCTTGAAGTTACAAAATGCTAAGTATTAAAAAACCCTTGTATTGTATGGATCCTGATCATACCTGAGCACTTTGTAGCTCAAAGCTGTAACAAAAATGAAAAATCCCATTGTATTGTATGGTGCCTGTCCACACCTGAGCACTTTGTAGCTCAAAGCTACAAAAAAAATCCCATTGTATTGTATGGTGCCTGTGCACACCTGAGCACTTTGTAGCTCGAAGCTATAACAAAAATGAGAAATCGTATTGTATGGTGCCTGATCATACCTGAGCACTTTGTAGCTTGAAGCTGTAACAAAAATTAAAAATCCCATTGTTTTGTATGGAGCCTGTTCGTACCTGAGCACTTTGTAGCTTGAAGCTATAAATAAAATGGAAAATCCCATTGTATTGTATGGTGCCTGATCATACCTGAGCACTTTGCAGCCCAAAGCTATGAAAAATCCCAGCCTGGTCATACCTGAGCACTTTGTCGCTGGAAGCTATAAAAAAGAGGAAAAATCCCATTGTATTGTATGGTGCGTGTCCAACCCTGAGCACTCAAGCGTCTGAAGCAGAACACTCATCACTCCAAAAAGTACAAGAGCTTCTTTTCAGGCAGGATGAAGCTTTTCACCTCAATGGTGTGCCTGGAAAACATGTCTGTTATCAAAGACAACACTGTATGTAAAGAAAAAAGTTTTGCTGTGTCCAGCAGATGAAAAGTCTGCTTTTTAAAAAAAAAATTAAAACAATAAGCTAGAACAGTGGTTCTCACCCTGTGTAACCTCAGGACCCACATTTGTCCTTGGTCATTAAAGTGACATTAAACCCTCAGATTTTTTAACATAAACCAATACTGTAATGTGCGCCTTACTGTAATCCATGCTTGTTTCCCTTCTCTTTGCTGCTCTTCCTTTTAAATCCACAACTCTTCTCATGCTGGGGGAGAACTTCCCTGTGCAGCTGAGTGCCTCTTCCTGTAGTGCTGGCTCAGGTTGTGAACCTTCACACAGACACCATGTATCCATTCCAGAGACAAGGCAGTCTGCTGCAAAACAGAAGTTCTGCCCCAGCATGAGAAGAGATACAGATTTAAAAGGAAGAG